CCCCAAAACCCCAAAACCCCAAAACCCCAAAACCCCAAAACCCCAGAAATTGTTATAAAAATTGAAAGTGGCCATAGATGGCATAATTTATCACCTAATTTTTTTAACAACCTATTCAGTGTATTGGATTCCATTATCATCAAAGCACCTGAACTTGTCTTTCTCTCTGCTTCTTGAATTGAAGTTTTCCAGTTCAATATCTATAATTTTAACTCCTTGCAATACCTTCGGTTACAGATTGAGGCTTATCTCTAGGGTTGCTCACATTCTTAAAGAAGCCACCAATAGCAACATCTACGTCTCTATCCTTGTTGAACTCTATATCTTCTATAAAAATCTTGTCTTCATTATCTTGGATCGAATCAGCATAGAAGTGTTTCATGTCTAGTCTCTATAGAATATCATTAGAAAATAAAAAAGGTAGTCAACCTACCTGAGCTCTGTTCTTTGCATCCTTCTGGTGCTTGAAGAACATAATAATTCTGAGATACTGTAAAGAACACCACAAGAGGAATAGCATATCCTCTATGACTTCTTCCACAGTGAGGATGGAGATAGATGATGTTCCCATCATGATCACAAAAGTAGTCACTCAACTTATCACTACGATAGAATCAAATACGTTCGTCCAAGATGTGAAATACTTCTTCACCCCTGTGATGTAGAGCTTGAAAGCAAAATCTAACAACAAGCTTATATTAATAAACACTTCAGCAAAGATGAATAATTTGCTCTGATGGACTCTTGCTCCGACCACTAGGATCCACGTCACCATAATTGTCGCTAGGACTGCAAATCCGATATAATAGTATCTTCATTTTCCGGAAGAATATAGGCGCTCTAGCTCAAATCTTAAGTTTGTCTGATCAGGTTCTAACAAATCTCTGATGCCACCTTCTGTATCTACACCTAAAACTTCAATTTCCTTCGAATAATCACGTATGGGTTCAAATTCCTTAAGATAAGCAAGTTTGGAAATCTTTAAAATTTAAACCTGCCCAACCAAAATAAACCCATTCGCACAAACTAAGCCACTTCTCCAATTTTTAAAATTTGACTAAGCTAAGAGAAATTTTTGAGAAGTTTGTTTACCTGGAGACTGGAGATTTTGAGGCGGGTGATCGGACCTAGAGGGGTGGAAGAAGAACTTACGGTTGTTTTTCATCTTCATCACTATCTTCAGTATATACTACTCCTTCAAACTCTTGTCTTTGAGTGAATCCTTTCATGTTAGGGTTTATATTTGAAAGTTTTAAATGAATCAATAACTATTTATTTATAAGGGGTTTTGGGGTTTTGGGGTTTTGGGG